CCCGAGGGGCCCCCTGGGGGGCCCCCTAGGGGTATCTCAGGGGGCCCCCCTGGGGGCCCCCCTTGGGGGCCCCCCAGGGGCCCCCCCCCTTGGGCCTCCAGACCCCTCCCCTTCACTCCCCTGCAGCAGCTCATCCCCAGGGCCCCCCAACGCCTGCGCAGCAGCTGCGGGGGCCCCCCCGGGGGCCCCCTCGGGGGCCCCCGCAGGGGCCCCCCCAGGGGCCCCCTCGGAGGCCCCAGCAGGGGCCCCCCCAGGGGCCCCCCTGGAGGGGCCCCCGGGGGCCCCCCACCCCGGGGGGCCCCCCGGGGGCCCCCCCACGGCCGGGGGGCCCCCCCCAGAGGCCTGCAGCAAGAGGGGCCCCCCGAGCGACGCCGCGGAGGCCCCCCGAAGCGCGGCTCTGGGGTTTGAAGGTGCAAACCCTAATTTAGGGTTTGGCGGGGGCGGGGGGCCCCTGCTGATGGACCAGTACCAACTGACGATGGCTTATTGCTACTTTTTGCAAAATAAACATAATGAGTTTTGTGTTTTTGAAGTTTCTTTTCGGAAATGTCCGTTTGGAGGATGTTTTGCAGTTCTTGGCGGGGTTAGAGCTGCGCTAGGGTTTTTGCGAGGGTTTAGACTCGCCCCCCAGCAACTAGCCTTCATTCAGGCCCAGGTCCCAAACCCTAATTTAGGGTTTATCGAGTACCTCCAGTCCCTCGACGCCTCCATGCTCACCGTCCGAGGTAAAACCCTCTTTTTTTTTCCTTTTTATTTATTTTATTTATTTTATTTCTTTTTATTTATCTTATTTCTTTATTTCTTTTCATTTCTTCATTTCTTTTTTTTCTTTAATATTCCTTTTAATGGTCTTTTTAGTATTCTTTATTATTATTCTTTCTTAGCGGTCCTTTTAATATTCTTTTGGTTGTTCTTTTTAATGTTCTTTTTAAATATTTCTTTTTACTTTTTTTTGGTCACTTTTTCAGATATCCTTTTAAGTCTTTTGTCTTCTTTTCAATTCCCTTTTGTCCCCTCTAATCTCTTTTTATTTTATTTTATTTTATTTTATTTTATTTTATTTAATTTATTCTGTTTTATTATTTTATTTATTTTGTTTATTTTATTTTACTTGATTTTAATTTCGGTTTATTTATTTGAAGTTCTTTTTTCGTTTCTTCTTTTTATGCCCTTTCTTTTCCCCAGGCCCTCAACAAAATAAAATAAATAAAAAATAATTCAATAAATAAATAAATAAATAATATACCAAATAAACAGTAAGTATATAAATGAATGAAAACAAATAAATAAATAGAAATAGAAAGGAAACAAATAAATAAAAAAGAAGCAGCAGCAGCAAAAGAGCGGCGCTGCAGCAGCAGCAGCAGCAGCAGCAAAACTCTTCTCATTTTGCTGCTCAAGCAGCCAACCAAGGACCAAAAAAGAGACAATTAAACAAATAAACAATAAATAAATAAATAAATAAATAATTTATCATTATTTATTTATTTATGTATTTATTTACTTACTTTTGTTTTTATTTATTTATTTGCAGCCATAAAAGAGGGCTCGGTGGTGTTCCCGAAAGTGCCGGTTTTTCAGGTGTCTGGACCGCTGGCCTTTTGCCAACTAATTGAAACTTCACTTTTAAACATTTTGGGATTCGCCACTTTAGTTGCCACCAACGCAGCAAGGTGCTGCTGCTGCTGCTGCTGCTGCTGCTGGGGGTGCTGGGGATGCTGTTGCTGCTGCTGGGGGTGCTGGGGATGCTGCTGGAGATTCTGGGGGTGCTGGGGATGCTGCTGCTGCTGCTGCTGCTGCTGCTGCTGCTGCTGCTGCTGCTGCTGGGTGTGCTGGGTGTGCTGGGGATGCTGCTGCTGCTGGGGCTGCTGCTGCTGGGGTGCTGCTGCTGCTGGTGCAGATTTGAGGGCTGCTGCGGCTGCTGCTGGTGTGGCTGCTGCTGCTGCGACTGCTGCACCACCAGCAGCATCTGCTGCTGCTCTTTTGCTCCTGGTGCTTCTGCTGCTGCTCGCTGCTTCTTTGGCACGGTGCTGCTGCCGTGCTGCTGCTTGAGGCTAGCTGCTGCAGCACCAAGCCAAGCTGCTGCTGCTGCTGCTGCTGCTGCTGCAGGCATAGGCTTGCTGCTGGGTGGAAGAAGAAGCTCTTTGAATTCGGCGCAAGAAGAGCCCAGGGTAAATCCTTCCCGCTTTGCTGCTGCTGCTGTTGCTGCTGCTGCTTTTATTTTGCTGCTGTTGCTGCTGCTGCTGCTGCAACTGCCGCTGCCGCTGCTGCAGCAGTTTCGGGGAGAGGTGGGGCAGATGCAACCTTGTGCGACTCCAGAGCTGTTTAGTGCTAAGGGTTTAGGGTTTAGGGTTTAGGGTTTAGGGTTTAGGGGTCTTTTTTGCTTCAGGGCCTGATGGAGCTCTATCTGCGAGTCGTTATGCTTACCTTGGGACCTTCGACGGCACGAGTAACTTGCAGGTTAGGGTTTAGGGTTTAGGGTTTAGGGTTTAGGGTTTGTTGTTGAAGATGTAGGGTTTGGGTGGAGGGTTTATGCTTGCGGGTTGCGTCTCTGGGGCTTGAGGCTGCGGACTTGCTTGATGGCTCGGGGCCCCGGGCTCGGGTTTAGGGTTTAGGGTTTAGGGTTTAGGGTTTAGGGTTTAGGGTTTAGGGTTTGCGCAGGCGGCGTACGAATTCGGGATTCCTTTGGCCGGGACAATGTCGCATGCATTTGTTTCTTCTTTTGCTTCTTTCAAAGATTTGAAAGTCAAACCCTCGTCCTTGGGACTCGACTTCCCCGAAGCCGTAAACCCTAAACCCTAAACCCTAAACCCGAGGTCCTGCGTTCTGGACGCAGAGGCCTGGGCCGTAGCTCGCTTTTGGCGTTGCTGCTGCTGCTTCTGCTGGTCTTGCTGCTGCTGCAGCTCCTGCTGCTGCAGTTGGTGTCACTGCTGCTATTACTGCTTCTGCTGCTGCTTTGTTGCTGCTGCTCTTTGCCGCTGCTGCTCTTTGCCGCTGCTACTGCTGTTTCTCGCTGGTGCTGCTTTGCAGCTGCTGCTCCTAATCGTGCTGCTGTTGCTGCTGCTGCTTTGCTACTGCTGCTGCACCCAGCGGGGCTGCTTTTGCTTTTGCTGCTGCTTTGCTGCTGCTGCACCTAATCCTGCTGCTGCTGCTGTTGCTGCTTTGCTTTTACTGCACCTAACCCTGCTGCCGCTGCTTTGCTGCTGCTGCACCTAACCGTGCTGCTGCTGCTTTGCTGCTGCTGCTCCTGATCCTGCTGCTGCTGCTGCATCTAACCCTGCTGCTGCTGCTGCATCTAACCCTGCTGCTGCTGCTGCTGCTGCAGGTGCTGGCAGCGCGGGAGGTGGTTTTCAAAATTTGGCCGGAGAGGAATTTTCACCAACGCGGGAGGTGGTTTTCAAAATTTGGCCGGAGAGGAATTTTCACCAAATGGCAAAAGAGGGAGAGTTAGCTGCGTTTGTGGCATATGCCATGGTGGGACTTTTATTTATTTATTGTTTAACCATTTATTTAAATTAATTAAATTAATTAAATTAATTAAATTAATTAATTAATTGTTTATTTATTTGCTTCTGCTGCTTCCGGCTGCTGCAGACGTTTCCGGAGAACTTCCTGGCCCTCGTGGACACCTACAACACCCTCAGCTCCGGTAACCCCAAACCCTAAACCCTAAACCCTAAACCCTAAACCCTAAACCCTAAACCCTTGCTCAGGAGCTGCAGCCCGCCTTCTTTCGCTCGTGGAGTGCCTGCGCACATACCGGTCGGCGCCTCTCCGTTTATTTTTATTTATTTATTTTTATTTATTCATTTTAATTTATTCATTTATATTTTTATTTATTTGTTTTTATTTATTTATTTATTTATTTATTTGTTTTAGGAATTCCCAATTTCTTGTCAGTGGCCCTCGCGATGTTTCAGCGGGGCCAAAAGCCCAAAGGCCTTCGCGTGGACTCTGGGGACCTGGCTTATCTGTCGAGGTCCCAAACCCTAAACCCTAAACCCTAAACACTAGACCCTGGATGTAAACCCTAATTCCTGAACCCTGAACCCTAAATGCGTGATTGCAAGCCCTAGCCTTTTACGTAGCCCTTTGTTCCTTGTCTTTGAACAGAATACCATCTTGTAAACTCTAAACCCTAAACTCTAAACCCTAAACCCTAAACCCTAACGTTTAAGCCACTGCGGCAGGTGTCGAGCTCAGCTCTACCGAGCGCATGCCCCAAACCCTAAACCCTAAACCCTAAACCCGAGAGCATAGACTGTGCTCCATGCGAAGCCAGTTGCAGCTTCTGCCGAGGTCCAGCGACCCGAACCTCGGGTTTAGCGTTTAGGGTTTAGGGTTTAGGGTTTAGGGTTTGCGGTTCTCAGGGAGGCCCGGGAGCAGTTCAGGCAATGCGAAAATGCCCTAGGGTTTCCATTTTCGGGTTTATTAATTGTTGTTTCAAACGACCTCAATGAAGCGGCAATCACGGCCCTCAACGACGAGGTAAACCCTAAACCCTAAACCCTAAACCCTAAACCGTAGGTCGTAAACCCCAAGCCGGTGCGACTCAGCAACGCCTGCAACAGACAATGTGCCTAAACCCTAAACCCTTTCTTGTGCGCCGAACGCAGAGGGTCAGACGCCTCGGGGAACTAGGGTTTAGGGTTTAGGGTTTAGGGTTTAGGGTTTGGGACTTTCTGCAGGGCCATGAGGCAGATGTCTTTGGCATTGGCACGAATGTCGTAACATGTCAGTCGCAGCCGGCGCTGGGCGTGGTGAGCCAAACCCTAAACCCTAAACCCTAAACCCTAAACCCTCAATTTTAAACCCGACTGGATCTGAGTGAAGCAGCAGTTTTGGCTGTCCCGTTAGGGTTTGTCTTGCGTATTGGGGTTTCGAGTCTTCAAACCCCGGAAACCCCGGGTGGAGAGCACGGGCGAGGGTTTAGGGTTTAGGGTTTAGGGTTTAGGGTTTGCGTGAAGGTGTACAAGCTGGTGGAACTCGAAGGCAAACCCTGCATGAAGCTTTCTGAAGATGTTGAAAAGACTTCTTTGCCAACAGCAAAAGCAGCTTACCGTCTTTACAACAAAGCGGGCATTCCTTCAGTGGACCTGATCCAGGTGGCGAGGGTTCAGGGTTTAGGGTTTAGGGTTTAGGGTTTGGGGTTCGTTGCTGCGCGGAGGCGAGGCCGAGGTTTTAGGGTTTGGGGTTTGGGGCCGGTTTGGGTTGCTGTTTGTGCGGGGGAAGACCGGCGGGCGCGGGGCGCCGGCGGCCCCCCAAACCCTAAACCCTAAATTAGGGTTTGCGGTGCGTGAGTGCAGAGCGCGAACATGCCCCCACCCCTCTGCGGCCGCCAACTCTTCTGCAAAGATCTCTACGCAGATAAGAAAAGATGTTTTTTTGTGCCGACAGCAGTTGAAGAACTTTTAGTTCTTTTTCTAGAAAAAGGCCGAATTGCTGCAGAGCCCGACGACCTCCAGGTACCAAACCCTAAACCCTAAACCCTAAACCCTAGCTCGAGACCTGGGCTGCAGCCCGGCGCTGCGGCTTGATGCGCCCGCTACACGCGCCACACACGCGCCAGGGTCTAGGGTTTAGGGTTTGCGGCTCTAGGGGTTCTGCCCCAAACCCTAAACCCTAAACCCTCGGTTCGCGAGTCAAACCCTAAACCCCCGCTCGACAAACCCTTGCACCAGCGGCAGCAACGCTAACGGAGGCGCAGCGAAGCTGCTGCGGGCAGACGCTCCAGGGCCGAGGGTTTAGGGTTTAGGGTTTAGGGTTTAGGGTTCACGCTTGCCGTTGGATTTGTTTGCCGACTGCCTCTCTCCTGATCCATTTACTTGTTAATTTTTCAGCCTTTTAATTAATTATCATTTATTTATTTATTTATTTATTTATTTATTTATTTATTATTTATTTGTTTTTTATTTTTATTTTTTCAGACTTGCCGGGCTCGCTGCATCAACCAGCTGCAGCTCTTCAGGGCGGACCATCTGCGGCTGCACTCGCCGACGGAGTATAAGGTAGGGTTTAGGGTTTAGGGTTTAGGGTTTAGGGTTTGGAGTTTAGGGGTGAGGCTTCGGGGCTGAGGAGGCAGCAACGCATGACGGAGACGAGCTGCAGAGATAGGACAAATAGCCAAACCCTAGACCCTAAACCCTAGACCCTAAACCCTAAACCCTAATTTGCTGTCGCGGCCTTTCTGCAGGTCTCTACGAGCGAAGAGTATTATAAGTTTTTCCACGAGATGTGGAACGCGACGGCGCCGATCCACACTATTGAATAAACCCCAAACCCTAAACCCTAAACCCTAGAACTTAAACCCGAGTGTAAATCCCAGTCTTGAATGCTTCAAACCCTAGGGCTCAGAGACGGCTGCAGAGGCTGCAGGGACTCAACAAGCTGCCTCGGCGCGGAGCCGACGAGCCCGCTAGCTAGCTAGCTAGCCAGTCAGCTAGCTAGCTAGCTAGCCAGCCAGCTAGCTAGCTAGCTAGCTGTGCAGGTGCTGGTGGCTAGCTAGCTCGCAGTGTGGCTAGCTAGCCACTCGTTAGCCAGCGAGCTTCGTGGGCATCGGCTGGCTAGCTAGCCAGCCCGCTAGCCAGCTAGCTAGCCAGCTAGCTAGCTAGCTAGCTAGCTGGCTGTGCTGCAGCTGCTCCCAAGAGGGCTGCTGGCGCGTTGGTAATTGTAAGGGCTGCGCGTCGTGAGGTGTACGTACACCTGAGCGTCAATGGCGAGGCCGAGCAGGTGCAGTGCAGGCTGTCTGCACATATATATATTTCCAGAATATATATATTGTATGTATTGGATAATATACATATATATATGTTACATTATAAATAAATATAAATCTAGGGGTCCAGAATAGTTGTAAATGTGTAATTGTGAACTTTGAGGAAAAGTCCCGAAAAGAGAAAGCCACAATGCATGGATTTGCCGGGTGTACAGACACCAGCGGAAACGAGTGCAATTTGAGCCTGAGGGCTTCGCGCCGGTTTTCTTCTTTTTTAAGCGCAGCAGAGCCCAGGCGGTGCCGCCGTGGGTTTTTTGTCTTTTTGAGACAGAATTGATTCAATTTAATGAAGTAAAAGGGTCAAAAGGGGCCAACCAAGTCGCCAGCCAACTTGCACAGCTGGGGTGTACATACACTCTTGCCGCGTCCGGGCTCCTCTTTTTGCAGATTTGAAACGAATTCGGGAATTTAAATTCATTTAAATGCAGACGCAGATTAAATGTTTTAAATTTAAAACAGATGAAGCCTTTTGGCGCTCGCGGGCCGTCTTCAGGTGTACGTACACCCCAGGCAGTAGCGGCCTTGGTTCCAGGTGTATAGGCAGCTCGGCGGCGCCGTTAAAGGCGACGGGAAACCGGAGTAATTGGGGGAACTTTGACGATTTAGTTTAATTATTTAATTTCAATTAAATAATTAATCACTTTTATCCGGATTTGATGCTTGTATAGAAGAAAATGAAGAGAATGCTGCGGGGAGCTGCTGCGCTGAGCACACCCGCGAACACTTGGAGTGTATAGACAGCTCAAGCAAACAGTGAAACATATTAATTCAATTTTAATCTTTTAATTTATTTTAAATCGCAAACCCTAAACCCTAAACCCTAGACGCTGACCTTTGGCTCTCCAGTGCGCAGCAGTGGGGCTGCGATAACAAGCCCTAAGCCCCAAACCCAAAGCCGTAAACCCTAAACCCTAAACCCTAAACCCTGGGTTTTGGATTCATTTTTCTGTTTTTCTTCCAAGACAAAATAGGGTGTCGGCACACCGGGCGCAGTTCGGCCTTCCCCCGGTGATCCCAGGCCCCAAGCCCTAGACCCTAAACCCTAAACCCTAGACCCTAAACCCTAGACCCTAAACCCTATATTGCCTTTTGAAGCCTCGCAAAGAGGCGCGTTTAGAGCCGCTTTAAAGCGGTTTGCTCTCAGAGAGCCTTGTGGCCACCTTCTACTCACCAACAGTAAGCCCGAAACCAAAAACCCTAAACCCTAAACCCTAAGCGCTAAACCTCTTCCCGACCTTTCGCCTCAGCAGAAATACCTGTGCTGCAGCTGCTGCAGCGCAGCAGTCACCAGAGCAGCCCCAACAGCAGCACCAGCAGCAGCAGCAGACCCCGCTAGCCCCTGGTGCTGGTGCTGCTGGTGCTGCTGCTGCTGCTGCTGCTGCTGCTGGTGCTGTTGCTGTTGCTGCTGCCGCTGCTGCCGCCGCTGCTGCCGCTGCTGCTGCTGCCGCTGCTGCCGCTGCCGCTTGACGGTTTGCTGCTGCTACTGTGGGGTGAGTTTTGGGCGTGGGCGTAGGCGGCGATGAGCGGCTCGGGCGCTGCTGCTGCTGCTGCTGCTGCTGC